AAAGAAAGAAAGAAAGAAAGAAAGAAAGAAAGAGAGCAAGCAAGCAAGCAAGCAAGCAAGCCTAACAAGCAATCTCAAGTTGACAACAGAAATATAGAATATATCACTGACCCCAGGTCTGGCATTAATTTTACATGCATGAACTCTGGTTTAACAGCCAACCTGTAACTAGCTGGTGCATGCACTGATGTGGGGTTTTCTGTAAGCCTTCATTATGCTGTATAAAGGAGTCAAAGACTTGGAGAACTTTTCATCCATACGTTCAGATGTCTGATAAGGTGGACTGTGCCTCCTCCTGCTCTGCTCTCTAATCCTTGGCCAACTAATCAGAGGAACGGACCTCTTTGATCCCAGTGGCAGACAGATGCCCTCACTGTATGTGGAGCCTAGGCATGACTGAATACCTGTTAAAAGTGAAATAATGGACGGTGTGTTTTTTTTTGCCTTTTTCTGTGTGGTCAGGGCCACCAGCTGAGTTAGACCTTTGAGGCTTAGTAAAAGTAAATCTGTCATTCTATTTTAAACCGAGCTGTTGCTTCTCTCCTGTTTACACCAGAGTGCCTGTCAGCAGGAGCTGGACATGGTCTTAGAGGAGATCTCTAAAATGACCTCTGAGGACAACAGAGGCCCCCTGGAGAACCTGTACGGGCTCAAATTTCCAAACTGTGACAAACATGGACTGTACAACCCCAAACAGGTGAGCCGGAGGTTACACTGCCCTGAAATCTTTAGGTGGTTTAATTAACCTTCATAGTCATTTTATACCTAAAGGTCCATCCTTTACATGTGAAAATCACATGTGTTTGCTTTGCATTTTATTTTATTTTATTTGATTTGCAATTCATGCAACTATGAAATAAGTGAAAGACATGAGGCTTTAGCATCATTAAGAGCTTGATATGTAAAAATTCAGAACAGAGAGCACTTAATCACACATGCAATGTTTTTTTTAGCATGTGCAATAAGTCAGCATCCTTGGTGATCCACCACGATTGCTGCGCACATGTTTAGACGGCAAATCAGTTTGGTTCTACTCCATTAAAATGAGCACATATCCTTTAGAGGGCTAGTCACCATTTTTGGTCATTTGCATACCCCTTACAAATTGAGTCACCCCATCCGTCAGTGAGGACTAGCAGGGGAAGATTTATATCCTGCCATTTTCAGTAAAGATACTGCTCAAGGCAGTACATTTAATTTTGGCATTTGACCAATCAAATAAGCCCCTGGGTGACATGTTACCTACTGTAAATTAAGTTGAAAAAGGTTAAATATGTTAAGTGAAAAAGTTAAAAAGCTATAAATGAAAATATAAGTGCATGTAACAGCATTAATGATCTAAGGTTTGTTTTTTTAACAGAAAACTAATTAGTTTCTTTCACTCTGTGTTTTTGATGGATTTCTTATAGAATAACTTCTGTTATAGTTTTGAACGTATTAGGGCAAGTGACCATTTCTTGTTATATATATATATATATATATATATATATATATATATATATATATATATATTCTCTTGTTCTCCAATAACACTCTTAGTTTAAAATTTTGATTTTCAAAGTAGTTCACAGAGTTCCCGACAACATAAAGGGTTAAGAGTTGTCCTAAAGGGAAAATGAGGTTCTAAACCATGTTTTAGGAGCTAATAACACAAAAAAAAATAAGAAGAATAATAAATATAGTACTGGTACTATAAATATTTGTAGAGTATCTTACATAGGTAGCAAACAAAGTAAAAACTAAAATTAAATTTAAAAAAACTAAAGCTAAAGAGACATTTCTTAAGTTTTAATATCATTAAATAGTCTTTTTATTTGACCCTTTACAACTAAAACCTTGTGTGATCAGCAGACTGACACCTCAGTGGTTAAACACCAATGCATCTATGAGGCTGTAGCCTATATTCTCTGAATGTACTAAGGGTTCGAAGCTGCTGTGCTGTTCTGTGGATGTGAATTCAAAAGTCGTCCATGTTACTGTAAATGGGTCCAACCTATTGCTAAACTGTTGCTACTGAGAAGCTACCAACATGCAGCTGAACTCAGGCACCAATGACATCTCCAGGTAAGGTAAAAAAAAAAAAAAGTAAAAAATAACCTACAGTACTAGAACAAGCAGAAGAGTTCTGCAGTTCTGTGGTTTGGCCACAGGTGTCAGTATCATTAGAAAACTGTAATGTCTCTTTAAAGAAATAATGAAAGAAGAAGAATTGGAAGGGAGTGGGTGCCGAGTGGTTAGGGGATAGATGTTGGTATCCTGAGGTTCTGAGTTTGAGCCCCACTCCCACAGACTGCCACTCTGGGTCTCAGAGCAAAATACTTAACCCCACCTCTCCCCGGGCGCCCCATGATGGCAGCCCACTAGTCCTCAAGGGGATGGGTTAAATGCAGAGGTAAATTTCTCAATAAAGTCTAATAAAGTTCAATTATAATTGCTATTATTTTATGATTGACCCAACATTAAATTCAATCAGTCTGCGTCCTTAGATGTCCTGCCTTCATACTGTCTCAGCTGCTCCTCAGATTGTCTCTTCTGGGTTGTTTGCCACCTTTTTCTCCCTTCTCTGTATTTAAGCTTAAGCTTAAATATATATGCCAAAACTATGCTCTGTATTTGGGTGCTTATTTAACTAAACCACGACACACATGCATGGGGAGACAATGCAAACTCCATGCAGAAAAGCCCCCAGGTGGGGTTTTTAGCCTTGAACGTTTTTATGGTGCAATACCTAAGCTTCAAATGCAGTTCACCATATCATGCTTACTTGGAAAAAGATGATTGAATTGAATAAATTAATTCGCGTCTGTCTCTCCTTCTATGCTTGCATTAAGATACAATAAGCAGGAGCTACCCTGTTTTATGAAAAAAGAACAAACACAACACATTAATGATAATAAAATGACTCTAACAGAACTAGAAACAGACCACCTGTAGCAACCAGGGATGAGGGAACAGAAGGGAGAAACAAAGCATAAATGATTTGCTAGGAATCTATGGGATAAGTGAAACAGTACACAGAGTTAAATTCCCAGCAATAGCTTTGCTAATGATCGTGTCCAGGAAAGATATTTGGCTAAACACAGAAATACTGAGCCAGGAGAACTTTCCATGGAAAATAAAAAAAACAAAGAGTACAGAAAGTATCCACAAAGTACCCACAGAGTTTCCAACTTAAGAAAACTGGCCTGATTATGCTTTAGAAGTAACCAGAGTTAATGATAAAGACCTGCTGTGCCGCCGTTTAATCACAGATTCAGACTCAACAAAAGCTTTAAACGTGTTTATATGAGTAATGTCGATGTAAATATCACGCAGCAAAGCTACATGATGTCATATCTGATACGCTAACCCACACATGGCATAATACTTTTTAAAATTTTTCAACGTATAAAGAAATTGGTTACCTAAGGTAAACTAGGTTATGTTGTAGGAACTGAAAATGTTTAACTTTGAACTATGAAGCCATTTTAACGCTAACAGCTGATCAGGGCCAAGGTGGATTCAAGGAGAAATGATCAAAATAAAATAAATATAAACTAAAAAAATAAACTAAAGCTGCTACACCAGACTAAACAAAGATACAACTGGTTTAATTATATTAAACTTTTACAAAATTATTATTATATTATATTATGATGCTCTAATACATATATTTTGTATAATTCGGTTGTGTCTGTTTAGCTGGATTAATAAAATATCCAGCCAGTTTTGCTTTTGTGAATATCGCTATCTATCCTTAAAACAACGTGGATTTACTGTTTGACAATGAGGCTCCAAGACGGATGCAGAGGATCCAGGGTTGATCAAAACTTGCTTTGCTTTTTCCCTAGAATTTGCACCTTTTCCCTGTAGGTTTTCTCTCAGTACTCCTGATGTTTTCCCACAGGTTCCAAGATCAGGGTCTCAAAGTTCACCCTTAGGTGTGAGTTAATGTGTGTTTATGGTTTTGTTGTTTCTCTGTTTTGCTCTCTGATGGATTGGTGACCTGTCCAGGTTGTTCCACACCAGTCATGGCTTTTAAAATAAACAAGTATAGATAGTGGATGTATGTCATTGATGATCTGGGATTGGAAAAAAATAACTGCTTGCTAAGCAACAGACACTTTTTTAAGTGTGGAAAATATAAATAGAACTGTCACAGACAAAAGGAGCCTACAGTATATACCTACAGTATGAAACTACAGTACTGTAGATTCAGCTGCTTGATGAGTTTTAAGTTAGTGCAGATATTAGTGTTTTAGAATAGAGTAGAATAGAATAGAATAGAAAATCCATTAATGGGGAAATCCCACAATGGGGAAATTCTGGTGTTTACAGCAACAATATAGAATATATATTATAGAAAAAATGGTCACACAAATGTGGATCTTTGAAAAATGTATAAGAATAACATATTTGGTGAAGAGTTAAAAGATAAACAATACAATACTGTACTATAAAGGGTTTTAGCAATATAAAGCTGTGCACCTGGGGAATAAAATTACCAATATATACAGCTATTGACATTTTTGCTGCTGTCATTTTGTGCAAAATGACAGCAGCACAGCAGTTTTCCACTTAAATGTGTTTTTCTTGAGTAGCAGTGGAAGTGTAACGGCTGAAAGAAATATCCACCATTCCAAGATGAAGCAAGCTTAAAATAGTCCTAATAGTTGAAGCAGTTCAACTATCCCATCACTTTTGCATTAGCCTTTTGATTTTAGGTGTTTGTTAGACTTTCCCTATTAAACTTTTGCCTAGCAACACAAATAGAGCTTATAAGGCTTCTTTTCCCTCTGAGACTTAATTATTTAAGTGTGTCTTAGCCTTTTGTGACGTGGCTTTTAGTGTAGTAGCACAAATAGGGAAACATAACAAAAAACTGTCTTACGTGAAGAGAAATAAAAATATCAACTGTAGCTTCTGATATAACGCATAATAGTTTTTTTTTTTATTTCTATTATAAATTTGCACAAAACTACATCAATATTTTGCTAATTTTGAAATTCGAATTCAAAGTGCAAAGTTCCACATTTGTGGTATTTCCATTCAATATCAAATACTATTAAAATTCCACTTTAATACATTTGGTCATGCAACCGCTCTGAAAACAACATCACATCTGCTAATCTAAACACATGAGATATATTCATATTGGGGAGTAGCAGCCTAGTGGTAAGGGCACAGAGCTTGGAATCCTGAGGTTCTAAATTCAAGCCCCACGTCTCTGAGTAAGACCCTTAACCCCATACTGCACCCCGGGTGCCTCACAATGGCAGCTTACTGCTCTCCAAGCGGATGGGTTAAATACAGAGGTAAGTTTCTCCAACGTGAGATCAATATCGTACAATTATTATAAAAATATTATATTATTTTGACCACAGCTCTAGAGGGCGCCTTCATACTGAAACTATTTCCACAATAATTAATTGTCTTTTTACAAGGCATTAAGGTCTAGAGGCAGATCATGTGAAAAAAAGTGTTTCCATTGCAGTTGTGCCAGATATAAAACATTCACTACAGCTCATCAAAGAGTAAAAACTTGTTAATGAAAAACATGAGTCGTTTCAAAATTGCTGTTTCCATTTGGCTAATTAATTTTTATAATTACATTTTGTGCAATTTGATGATGAATGGAAATGCATCAAGTGTTAAACATTTGCTACGTAAAAGCATTTTACCTGAAGTGCTAACATGTTCAACAGATGTATGTTTTTAAAAATTCATTTTACATAACAATCTCTAATTAATTCAGGAAAACCCTTCAACCTGTTGTATCCTTTATAAACTCCACCACAGCCTCCTCCTCTTCCTCGGCATCCTGCTTGTGAATACACACACACACGTTTGAGAGGATGTTGTCATCCTGAATGAGGCAACAAGCCTCTCAGCTTAAGGTTACAAGGCAATAAAACGGTTTGGCATACTGCATGGGAAGAGCTCTGTTAAGCTGAGGAACGAGCTGTGCTTCCGACGGGGGGATTTTGAATTCTGCTCACCCATAGAAATCAGATGAAGGAGGACAAACAAGGTCACATATCCAGTGTTTTTCTTACGAAGATAGTGGAGCAGAAAAGAAGATTTGAATAGGCGCCATAGTCTCCTAAAGGAGGGCTCTCAACCACTGAGCCAAGTTTCATCACTAGTTACAAACAACAGCATTGTTTTTGAGCAGAGTCCTCAGTTCCCAGGGAGGAACACTGTACCTCCTTAACACTTGGCTCCCCTTTGGAGTTGTCCCTCCTTGCAGCGTGGTAATTACTGTAACTGTCACTTCTTTGTTCTTTCTCATAGAAAGAAGAAAATAAAAAACCTTTTCTTTACTTGGTCGCCCCGCGTGCGCGGCGTAAACTCTGTCCGCTTCAATTACGACCTCATTTTAAAATATAGGGGGGGGTGTCTCTGCAGGGGGGCCGACCCCTCACCATGTCCATGTGTGTGTCTGTCTGTGATAACCTATGGTTGAGGATAGTCTGTGAGCTGTGTGTAGGGGGTATGACCTGAGGACAGGCTGTTATTGGGTGAGTTTGGTCCCACCCGAACCACAGCCCTCAGTCTTATCCAATGGCCCGCTGCGACCAGCAGATCCTCTCACACACACAGACACATTTCAAACCATCAAACACCATGCTTCATTAAGCCAACCCTGCTTCCCACTGTGCATCCTTAACACCCCTCCTCCTTTTTTTCCTGTGTTTTCCAATTTGTCTAGTTTGTGTTTTTCTTCTCTACTTCCAGTGCAACATGTCCAACCATGGCCAGCGGGGAGAATGTTGGTGCGTTAATCCACTAACGGGTGTCCAGATCCCAGAGACACCCAAAGTCCGAGGGGATCCCAACTGTAACCAATTCCAGGAGGAGCTGGGTGTGATGCCCACTTCAACAACGTCTCGCTAGCATGCATGCATCGAAAAGAGCAGAGTTGGTGTAAACGGTTCAATTCAACCTTTGAAAATATCGTTTTCATAATAAGTGTGTTCCATCTAAATATGATGAGATTATAAAATGCTTTTTTTTTTTTCATTGGCACGAAAATTAGCAAGAGCGAACCTGGTTTGCAGAATCAAAGAAAATTTACTGTAAATATCGCAGTTATTCTATTAATATTCTGAGCAAAGCATTTTGAGTTGATTGGTCCTGGACTAAATATAACTTCCAATCCCTGTTATTTGTCTTGTCAAGGATTTTGCTATCAATATCCATAAGTTAGGCAAGCAATCAGTGCTGTGTTCTGCATGGCTGCATGGCATGTGCACATCATGGGAATAAGTTTAGTATTTTGCTTATCCAACAAACCTCTTTGCATATATGTTTTCAAAATTCAACCTTATTTTTAGAGCAGATTTAAACACCTTTAGAGGCTACCCTGTAGTTCAGCTGGACAGCGGCTACATAACCAATAAGATTAAGGTATAACAAAAGAAATTGAAAATACAAAAAAGTCAAAAGTGAATAAAATAACAATAAAGTAAGGCTAATAAAAAATAGTCCTACTATACTTCAATGCCTATTTTTGCTCCCTAGGGAAAGCGAGACAGTATTGGCAGCAGCAGTTGTCTGTGTCATTGTGACGTGGGCTGTATTCAGAGTTTTTGGAGAGTGTGGCACATTAGACACCAAATTGTCTGGTGTTTAAAGCTACAAGTTTCATTGGAGCACAATGAAGTTGCCAGCATCAACTCTTCTACAAACTGCTAAGTACTGAAACATCAGCAGGAGCAGGATGTAATTCTACTGAAGTATGTATGTCTTCTTTTTTTAACAGCGTCCTGTCTGGAAATGTGGCAATAAGAATAATTGTCTTGATGCCAAAAAAGAGTCCAACATATTTTGTTCTTACAAGTGGAGCAGTACAGCTATCGCCATAGTGTTCTGCTTGATTTATGCATATAAATAGCTTTATTATAATTCATGCAGGGAGTATTACAGATTATATGGAAACTGCAATGTAAGTAGAACAGGAAAGTCAAAACAGAAAAAAGGAGAAAAGATGAAAGAAAGAGGAGATAAAGGGAGACGATGATGAAGTATGTATGTCTTCAGGGACAAATGATTAAGCTCTGTTAAATTTAGGCGAAGCAGTGTCAGGACATTAAGGCATGTTGTGGAGGAGCAAAATATTAAGGCCAACTTACAGGAAATTCAGGTTAAAAAACTGTTTATCTCTTACCACATAGGAGAGACTGGTGCTTCAGGACAATCCACTTTGAGCAAATAAAACAACACAATCCAAATACTGATGAAATATAGTTTGTTAATTTAATGTATTTATGGTTTTAAAAGCTTTTTTTTTTTACTATAATTCTTCTTTATTAACTATAATGTAGAATTGAAAGATTTCCAAGGCTAAGATGCAGAAAAAAATGCTTGATTAGGATATCAGTATTTAAGATGTTTTAGAATTATTATATTTTGAGTTTTTTTAAATTATTTGGCCTTAACCGTAGTATGCTAACATTGGCATGCCCAGCTCGGTCCTGCTCAAGAAAAATTACAGTTTGTATGGCATCAGTATTCTGCCAAAATTCTACACTGAAAAAAAAAATGCAACCGTTTTTGCCACTTACTTAATCATATTGAGTGACTGTAACGCAGTTGGTCCATGTTAGCAGGTTAGGACATAAACAATCCTTTTTCCTGTAACTAAATATGATTAAGTAAGAAAAATTTTCAGTGCACACACGCAATAAATCCTCCTACGAGCAGCTTTACTTCATGGAGATGCTTGTGTGTGACATGTTTGAGCCCCGTGGAAAACTATTTGCACATGTAACATGCTAAACATGCATGTGAGGAGCAGTTTACGAGTGTCTGTATGAAGTAAAGCTGCTTGTAGAAGTATTTATTGTGTGTGTGTGGACTTTTGGCAGAATACTGACACCATAAATTCAGTTTTTCAAACTCCACAATCAAAGGGCAGCTTCGCCTTAACATACTAGCTACTAGGGCTTCAAATCTGTTTGCTGCTTAATTCTGTATGTCAGGTAGCATAGCAATTTGATTTGTTCAAAGTAGTAGCAATGAAAACATGCCTGATTTAGAAAAAATAAAATGATTAAAACTCAAAACATCTCTTTAGAAGGAACTGATCTCAGCATATGTTCTTGAGAAATCACTTTTTCTGCTGTTTACATCTGGTAAGATCGTAACTTCCCATAACTGCACAGAGTTCAATAAAAGTTTGAATAAACTGCAGTAGCTTTCTTAGAGTCCTTGACTTCCCTGAATATAGCCTATGCTCTATCACATGCAGACTTCCCAACACCACCTTTTACCACAGAAATCAAGAAAAGGTTGCTTGATTTGAAAATTAATTTCTTTAAAAGACACTAAAGGAACTTATTGTTTTGGATTACATTTTATAACTCTAAGACCTGAAGCTATTTCAGATTTCGCTGATGCTAATGCAGTTGTTCTTAGTTTGCAACTGATTGTTTTCCTGTATCATTTTCATTGTGTATTTTGTAGCTTCCCTATGTTTTAAAAAAAATATATATATATATATTAAAACAATAATGAAATCCAAATTCAGTCTCAAAGTTTTTTGGTATAGTTGCTGCCATTTGTTCCTTTAATGAAAAAGCACATTTGAAAGGCCTGACTGAGAAAGGGGAGGGTATGGCTGCTGGACGGACCTTCTCCATGCATGTATGTATATGACAGGATACTTCAACACCTAAAGGACAACTGCCCAACATTTTCATTTGATTTTTTTTTTTTTTTTAAGTTTGCATCAAACCCCAAAATAAAATTAATTCAACTTTGTGTTTCCATCTTTCTGCCATCATCAGAATTCTTCTATTCAGAGAACTTTGCACATGTACAAAAACTGGTCAGAACCTTTCAATGGAAGGTTTGAGGTTTTTAAATAAAGATATTTTGTTTTATTTTTTTCTTAAAAAAGATTTAATCACTAAAACTGACATTGAAGGGATAAAAAACACAAAACCCATAAATGCTTTTACATAACAGTGAGGACTAAAATCATTAGTGGCCTCAAAACAGAAAATATGGCAGATTTATGTAGCATCAAAGTATCTATATTGCTGACATTTTTATGCAACCCAGGTGGAGCAATTTATCTTGTTTGTTTGTCGAGTGGAGGTTTTTAAAGGATCCAAATGCAGAGATAGAAGCTGAGGTGGATTCTTGAAGATTTCCTATAGTTTCAAATGGCAAAAGAAGCGAAGGTCCACAAACAAAACACTGAAATCCAGGAAAACACACATGAAGGACAAAGAAATGATGAGGAACCAGCAAACAGTAACTGAAGAGGAGGAGTATAAATGAGAGACTGAACAATGACCAGGCTATTTAGCAGATTGGGAGCAGGTGTGGACAGAATAATCTAAAAGGGAATAGGGGAAAGGAAACTGACAGAAGAGGGCAACAGAATGCAAACAAACTGTTTCTTTCCCAGACAGACCCCCTTTTGGAGATAGTTAACTATGATTTTCTTACTCTTCTTTCCTTAGAAAGGAAACTTAACTTAATCTGACTTTCTGATTTGATTGAACTGTCTCTGTAAAGAGTTTTGAAATGACATGTTTGTGAATTGGCTCTTTTTAAATAAACTGAATTGAATATAGTAAGGTATGTGGTTAATAAACCTGTTGATGGAAAATGTGTTAAAGATATACTTATGCATATTTCCATACCATTCTTCAAAACAGCGTCATTTAGTGACACAGGTGGAGCGCAAAAATGAAAGACAACCAGAGCGTTATAAGGTTAAAATTAGTGTTGCACCGATACCAATACCAGTATCGGACGAAGCCCCGATACTGCCCTAAAATGGTGGTATCGGTATCTGCGAGTACCAACAAATAGGGCACCGATACCATTTTGAGAGCCATAAGTTTATTCAACTATTGTCACCCATAATGTTAGGCAATAAAAAGTTCTACTGGATTCACTTTGTATTAGATTTTTTCCTGCTTCACAAAGGTAGGCAGCAGCTTGACAAAGCCATGATGGCAATTATTTGACATTATTATGGTATCGGTATCGGCCGATACTGCACAGCCAGGTATCGAGTATCGGGGCCAAAAAATGGCATCGGCGCAACACTAGTTAAAATATAACCAAACATGGAGAAGCAGCGTTTATGCTCCACTTATCTGGAAAAAAAAACTCCCAGATGAGAGTAAAAGTGCTGAAAGCCTGAGTTCTTTTAAGTCAAAATTAAAAACCCATTTGAATGGAGCTGCCTCTGACTGTTGAAGTTAAACTGCTAATTGGTTTGTGATCAATCTGTTTTATTTTATTTTTTTATCATGTTTTGTTCTTTTTAACTTACTTTATTGTGCTTTTTTGTGGTCCAATTGATTTGCTTGTTTTACAAATGTTTTTGCTTTTATTCTGCTTTTATTTTTCTTCTATTTTATTATCTAAATCATGTAAAGCACTTTGAAATTAAAATTGCCTTGCCTAGCCTTACCTTGCCTAATTAGTCTGGTTCATGAATCTGATGTGAGGATTTATGAAACTTTTCATGTAATCAAGATAATTAAGTCTTTGACCATAAAAACTGCTACTATCATTTGTTTCTCTTTAGTTCTAGTGAGAAGCGGGTCATATGAGCCCACTTCTGACCAACAGTAAATCAATACATAATGCGCTAATATGCCAGGAAGTTTGTCACCAGGCACAGTCTGCGAAAACTACTTTTACAGCTTTGTCCTTCATTTGTTTTTATTAGCTTTTAGGAAACAGTCCCCAGGTGTTGTGGGTAGCTTGCTGGGATGACAGCATGGCCCGGAGTACAGATCTCAGACATGTTTGTCCTGTCCTGCACATTTAATGGTAGTTTTTATGCAGAGAACAAATCAAAACAAACGTCTTTTGTTTTGGGTCTAATAGCTCTGGCACAATGGGCCAAATGGTTCATCTGTGAGAGTGAGAGTGGGGGTGAGGATTTGTGCTTACATGATAATGCACTGTAAGTCTGGGTGCATTTGCATGAAGAGTCCAAGATCCGCCCTAGTTTAAGACTCCTGTTTGTTTTGTTAGCTTCCAACAACTTCCTGGGATGTGAAGATTGTGGGTTTGTTTCTCAGACTTCCGGAAGCTCTGCTTGTTGAATGTTAACAAAATAATTGTTGTTTTATCTCTGTAAAATGACGAGGTTCTCCAAAAAGTACAGACTGTTTTATATCAGGGACAATTATTATGTTGGAGCTCATTAGCGCGGGAAGCCTTTGCCTCTCCACAGGAGGAATCAGTGATGGGAAATCTGCTCGTATGGGAGGACCTTCAGTATTTTTACTATGCAGGAATGGAAAAGAAAATCTAAAAACCGTATATTCCAACTTGAAGTCCTTTTCCAAAATAAACGAGGGCTTAGAATTTAGGTTATTTGTACTCTGTGTCTCATTTGTGCTCAGAGGTTTGGTTATTTGAGATTAAATCCTAAGAAATAAACAAAAGATGCCTAATTTAGAGAATCCAATATGGCCACAGCACATGTGAAAATAACGTACAACTAGAGATCAGCTCTTCACTGTCACATTAGAGATGTAACAGGTGTTTTATTTTGTTTTAACACGTTTTACTGAAATATGTTTATTTCGGTGGAGAGGTTAACCGAAACAGTTTTATTTAAGGCTAATGTCTATAATAATTATTTTGACAGCAGTTTAATCAATCTTGGATATATGCTTATCATTTCTGGGGTCAGTTTTTTAAGCCAATATTTCTTTTGCTTAGTATATAAAAAGGACACTGAAATGAAAATGTGTTATTAATAATGCAGTAACAAGTCTGCAGAGCGCAAAGAAAAAAAAACTATAAAATTCTGAGAAATAATTGATTTTTACTATTTTCTTGAAAAACGGAGAGGATAGAAGGGTGCAAAAATTTGTACCATTTTAGAGAAGTAATATTTTTATTTGACAAAGAGAATATTACTTTTACATCTGACTTTCATTGCTTAATGCTTAAAATAACAAAAGTTGGAAACGCATTTTATTTTTAAAGAGAACTTCAAATTAGCTTTTTGGTGTTTTGAAGAATATCTACCTTAGTTTTTAATCTTTTTTTTCTTCATCATAATAAGAAATTGTCTTTTCAAAAAAAAAAAAAAGTTTGCATGTAAATGGAAAAGTTTCCATAGTTTTGAGTTTTCTATCGACTCGGTTTCTCCCTGGTTGTCAGGCCATCTGCTGAAGGTAAGATCCCATTAAAACATTCCTCACAGCTATCCGCTAGCCAGCTTCCATGCATGGTAGTTACGTGCCATAAATATTGCTATACATTGCAATGGTTTTATGGTGTTTTCGGATGTAAAAAGATATTACCCTCGCAGTCACATCCGACCCAGGCTGAGGAACCCTCCATTTGGGATTCCAGGTTTAAGTCCGTCTTTGATGAAAGGCTGGAGAAAAACTAGCAGACACTTGTCCGATGTCTGATTCTACCACCCGACGTTATGTGATTTACTCTCAAGTCTACATTCCTACAAACCTCCTTTTATCTCCTCGGTGATGACAGGAGCCACTGTTTCCTCCCTTGAAGCGATGCCATTATCATTGAGTTGTCTATTGTAAAAATTCAAACTTTCCAATATCAACATCTGCATTTGTAAATTTTTACATTAAATTGTCCAATAAGTGTTTCTAAGGGGGGCATTGAATCCATGTGCAGCTGAGATCATTTCCAGATGATTGTTTGTGATGCTGCAGACTTTAAAAACACTGTCACTGCAGCTTTTCTAAAGGCTGTGCAGCTCACACATACCAAGCAAAACAGTTAAGCTGCTTTTTGTCTAGAGGGAGGTGCGTGAGTTGATGTCAAATGCAGACAAGGTTATTGGTCTAATTGTGTAATAAAAGGGGGCATAGAGGCTTTGAAGTTCTTGGTGCAGTTGTCCATTTCTTTGATGGTAAACATTAGTTGTCATGTTCAGAACATCGCAAATCAAATCCTCTGCCTCTTTTCCCAGCCTGGAGCCTGTTCTTTTCTGACAGCATGCAAACACAAACCGAAAAACATACCATAGCAATATTTACCAGCACAACATCCAGAGTTCTACACCTCCCCTGGATTCATTTATATCTAGAGATGCAAGACCTCCAGAACCCTGGGAGAAATATTGATGCCCAACCAACATACATCAAAGATTCCCCTTAATCCAACATGTTAAGATTTATTTCTATTAAATCTTTACATATACTACAAAAAAAATGCTACATTTAGGTCAGGAATTTTGTATTCCCTTAATACAGCACCAGACCGTAGACAGTACAATGAATGACTAAATAATGTACAAGAACGTAAACAGAACATCACTGGAGATGCCCCTTTGCACCCATGCAGTACCATATTACTAGCCTCGTGAGACCATCCTGATCTCACGAGCTTTCAAGGTTTCAATCGCAGATCAATCTGGCCACTTTCCGTTAAAGAAAATTTGGAGCAGTTCACCAAAACGAACGTCCAATCAGCGTTGGCTTTGAGGCGGGTTGAGGTGTGACGCAACGAGAAGCGCGACAGTTCAGTCTAAAGAACATGGCGGCTTCAGCCAATTAAACTAGCGTTAGCGTGGCTATCGAGCAAGTTTTATTGGAATTATTATTATTATTTTATCGGAGTATTTCTTCACTGAAAGAAGAGCAAAACACTGCTCTGGAGGCTAACGAGACTTTACCTGCAGCAGCAAGAGTAGCCTGGCTTGTGGTTGTGTTTTTGTCGTTGCTTTGTTAGTACGTCATATGCTTTGTTGATCTGATTGGTTTATTTGGCCCGTCTATCACCAACATAGGCCAATCAGCTAACCAGTATTTTCGCCCCTTCCCAAAATTACTTCAACGGAAGGTTTCCAGATGGATATGCGGAGCAAATCCAACAAATCCATCTGGCGGAGTCAGGTTACCATATTACACTTTAACTATTATTAATAAACAAATTTGGTTTGAGATTGTGGACACATCTCTTTTTGGTATAGAATTACTTTAAAATATATGAAAATACTTTATACTAACACAGCACAATTAGCATAATTAGCTAAACAAAATTTCTGTTCTTGATCAAAGCCAAACCTTTTTGACATACTTCAGTCAATAACCACCATAAGGGTAAAGATCAAGCAAGTAAGTAAATAGGTAAAGTTAATTTTAATTTTGGTGCCTTTCACAAATGAAATGCTTAAATATTAAAAAAATACAAAACAGGTAAAAATACATTAAAACAAAACCTAAACCAATACAATAAATGAGAACGTTTAGATAAAATCAACCTGGTGGTGATAAAACAATCCTCTGACTGCTGATCTTAAAATGCTTGATAAAACAGGTGGGTTTAAAATTTGGCTTTAAAAACATTATAGCGGCTTCCTTAAAGATCCTTTAGGCCGCTGAGAGTTCGGGTTGGGTCCTCTTTTCTTGCCCTATTTGTGACACGCTTAAATGTTTATATTGTTACAGATACGCTGGAATCCAGGATGCTTTTGTTTTGTTTATTAGCACCAGCATGAGTTAATGACAGCGCAGCAGGGATGATTGTGTCAAACAAAGTTAGATCCGTTAATTAATATAGGAAACAAATGAATACTGAAACAAAATGATATGAAGCTTAGTGAAATGAAGCGGTCAAACAAAATTACGGCAGCCCCACCCTTACTCTTCTCATCAGTGAGACAGGTGAGTGCGCACTAATACACACCTACTTCCTTGGTGCACACCCACCTCCCTTTGAGTCTCCACCACCAAAAGGGTCCTATGAATGTAGAGACAGTGGGCGATTGCTCCAGAGGGAGCGGTCTCCTTGGGTCTTAAAATTCGTCTGAGGAAACATAAGCAGAATGTTGTCCGATGACCTCAGTCTCCTGAGTGTAGGGACATCCACATTATGACATTCCACAAACAGTTTGGAGACAAACAAGGCAGACTCTTTGATCTAGTCTCAGACGACACAGGTTTGGTGAAAAAAGACAAATAAATTAAAAATAAAACAGCAATGGTCATTAATGTGGACATCTTTTACACAGGTTGGCCACGTTAGAACCGAGCAAAATAACTAATTCAAGATTGAGGCCCATTTGGTGGGCAGGGACAGAAACATGCTTAAGATTTAAGGTTTCATTCAGTAATGATAATTATCTGTCTGCACTGGAATTTCTTTAATCTACATGCATATTAAGATTTTACACCAGAGCGGGTATCCAATCTGCAGAAGTGCACCACCCCACACCCAGGCAGTCAGAGCCACTCCAGGCCCATACATATGGTTCTCTCATACCCATAGCTGTCTGGTAATCACAGCAAAGGTACTTCACGACTCTGGGTCAAGTACAGCACACCAGCCACTGGTGCCCAGCCACCAGACTTCCCCATGCATACCCTCTCCTGACTGCAGGAGACGGACGCTGTACGTAGAAGCATCCCCACTTACAGGCGCAGGTGGGGGTCGAAGCCTGAGGCTCACCATCCCAAGTAAGGCCCGATTCCAGGTCCACAATCCCCCCACCTCCACCCACCACATGAGGAGATCTAACACAGCCTGCATTGAGCCAGTTTTCAGAACACATACTGTGGGACATCTGGGTTAAGTTGCTTGACAGATAGGGTCCGATTGGGTCAAGCAACTAGGGGGAGATCCTGCTTACAGGAGCAACTCAGCCTTACCCTAAGTACGACTTGATTCAAGCCATAAAGACATACTGGGGCACTGTGCAGCCCAATCCAGAGACGTAAGGTACCAACCAAAAAGACACTTTGAGGTTCTGGGGATTTGTTTGGGGATTTTTGATACAAACTGCTGCTTTGAGGACAACTTGATTAGTACAGTTCCTCAGATGCGAAGACCAGAAAGGTTTCATTTGCTGTATATATCTTAGAGAATCAGTCAATTCAATTCAGTTCAAGTTTCTACCTTAAAGGGGAATTAAATAAATGAATTTAATGAAGTTTAATAAAGAATATAAATGAAATAGAAAAGTCTGATTTGCTAGACTAATTATAAATAGTTGTTTGTAAATTTGTTGGTGTTAAATTATTTCATCTGTAAGGAATTTTTCCTACCTTTTATTTATGATAAAGGTTTTCTTTATGATGCAATTCTCTTCTCCAAACCTTCTGATATCAAATAAGTTCTTGGTTCCTTTGAAGCCTCCTGACTCTGCATGTAAGGAATTGGGTGATCCCTTCTTTGGTCAGGCTTTAAAAGGCCACATCCTGTATGCTGCATGGGATCCTGTGGTGCCTCAGACTTACTCCTCTAAGAGGTTTATCAGCTCGTGCCTCAGAGATTAAGCGCTGCTTATCATCAGGATGATTCCTATTCAAACGGCACATCTGAAGCCAATTTTAACAGCTCTCACACACGGACAAAAACACCAGTCACCAGAGCACTTAAATGAATACATAACTTTATTTAAATAAATGCTTTGTCATTACAAAAAAAGACAAAGGTTAAAAGAGTACATAAATTACAAGTTGAATAAATATTACACAGTGATATTCACTTTAATAATTTGAGATTTTTTTTTAATATTTTTGTTGTTTTTGTTTCTGTATTTGTCGTATGTAGCTCCAAATACTGACCAATGTTTCCCACTGCCACCGATGGTTCCGTCTCAAATGCCGGAGAACACCAAATTATGAAAACCAATTGTCTCTTTACAACCAAAAACTGTTATGTACTCTGAACAAAAGAAGCTGTTCTGTTAACTGTCCTACTGAATAATGAAGTATGAGTTTAAACCATGTTGGAGATTAGGAAATCTGGGGTTAAAACATTCAAAAGATCTTCAGAGATCAGATCTTCATTTGTTTTAATTCACTAAGAGGAACTAACAACCACCTCAATTCTCTTGATTGTTGCGTTAAATGCCCCAGATTTCCCAAACTCCCTGTTTCTGTTTCACTAACTGTATCTAAAGTGGTGAAATTGGTGACTCCCTCATCGGGAAAGTGGCTAAGCCCTAACAGTGACCACAGCCTGCTCCTGGTCCTTTTCCTCCTGCTGCCCTCTCTGGATCAGCTGTCATTTCTGTGCAACATCTCCCTCTTTTTTTTTTTCTTTTTCTAAAGAAATGCAGCTACTCTCCAGATTCCCAGGCAGGAGCTTCATCAGCCCCTGTCACTAAATCAAAACTTCCAAACATTGTTTCGGAAAGGTAAGCTCACCGTGGTTTAGTTTGTGGTTCGCCTGACACCATGAAACCACATTTCAAGATGCTGTTGTGCATTAGGTTCTGTAGTGAGTACATGAAATAAGTGCAAGCTGTTTTGCCCTATACGTGAAGTTGGGATTTGGAGCCTTGATGTGGTTTTTACAACCAGAAACAAGATATGGTGCTGTGCAAAAGTTTTAAACAAAACCTAATTTAAAAAAAAAACAACATTTTTTTGCATGCAGTCAGGTGTTTCTCCAATCCTTTAAATTGATTCTAATCAACAAGTCTTCTGGCTTTTTGGGGGTCATTCAAACGTTCTACTTGGATCTTGGCTCCTTTCTCACTCTTTTTAAGCCCAGTACATGACCAGTGATGAGAACTTCAGGGGATCGTCTACTGCCCATCCAACATGTGCATGTTGGTCCCCATGTAGATTCTTTCTCTGGCTGGATAGGTACTGAGTTGTTCTGAATAAATACAATTTACGTGTGAAAAAAAAAACATTTGAAACCCTTAATATAGGGGGTAGCTGGGTTTTAAATGGGAAACTGGTTTGAGCTGCACAATTCTAGGTTTCCTTGTATAAAATCTATATCAATACAGAGGCAAGTGTCATTTACAGTCGTACGGGGCTTGTATGTGAAAACAAAAACAAATGTTCAACCGAAGCCAGACAGTAAATTAGATTCATTATATGTTATTTTCTATAGACAAAGGCCGGTAGTCTATAGTTATTCTAGTTGGATCAGGGGCAATATTTGGTCATATTTCATATGAGAAAATTAACCCAACATGGGATATAGAACCAAAGTCACTTGAAATAAATTATCATTTAATATCTATAGAAAATAGTAAACAAATATGCATGGAAATTTATTTCAATGCTTTGATCATGAGACTCGCTCATCCCTTGAATGAAACATGGTTGAAATAGAAAAAAAAATCTACTGAAAGGAAAATTAATGAAAATGCAGCCAATTGCAAAAAAAAAGAAAGAAAAAGCACATTAAAAGACTGTTCATTTAAACCATCTTTAAGGATTTCAAGGGATTCTGAGTGCTTAGAAGCAAAAGTCAAATAGAAGAGGAATTGCTAAGGACTAATGCACAGCACCCCTGGATGCACACATTCCCTCTCATGTTTGCAGACTGAACAACTTCTGCATCCTGTGTATCTCCCCGTCAAACATTGGCATTCACATAAAAAGAAAAAGTGAGAATCTTAGCTTATCAAGTTGTCCAAGGAAGAGAAGGAGGTTTCGCTCCTTCCCTGTCCAGAATTTAACCCGAGGTACTATACAACATCGCAAACGGAGCTGGACTCAATTTCAAAGACCGACCACATTCACTGGCTTCTCTCGGTTAGAGCTCCAAACCTCGTCTGAATCCCCACCCCCCCGTGTTGCTTTTACGTCAGCATGTAAGTCTAAATATGTAGGAAGGCACACAGAAAGGAAAAACCGGCCCAAAGACCCGCTCCTGTCATGCTTTCATGGTGCTTCACTGAGTTAAAGGCAGAAAACTTAGAGAGCAGGCAGCTTTCTCTAACTGCCCCGTCAGCTGCTCTAACAGGATACTTTCTAATTCTTTACAGGCAAAAGTCTTTGTTTTTTTTACTCCAAGCTCATTTACATGTTTTTTTTTTCTACAGGAAAAAACAACACTCAGGAAGTATATTTAAAAGTAATGTAATACACCATGAATACATTGTACTGAGGGGGAAACATGGCTCAAAATGTAGGGCAGTCTTTTACTTCACTGAAGGCAAAGAAATCAGCACAAATAAAACCACAAAAAAAAAAAAAAATAGTCAGAGAGGAAACCAGCCTGAAAGGCAAGTTTGATCCCTAAAGAAATCCCGACACGGAAAAAAAATCAAACTTGCTTCCTGTCGCTGAAGCCGAGAGTCTTTGTTTTCACCAGCAGAGCTGCGTGGCGCCCTGCCTGGCAGTGTCTGCTCAAATAGGCACAGTTGGCATGTCAGGCTAGCTAAATGGTCGAAGAGCCACACACATATGTTCATCTGTGACCGTCTACTCTCTCTGTCTGAATGCTCCGAGTCCCCAAACACATTCGTAATGTTAGAGAGGAAGGCCGGGTCCGAGAACACGTCAGACGCCGGCATTACTCGTTTAGGGAAATTGAACAAAAGAGACGATTGTAACATTCTTTTGTTGTTGGTATTTTTCTGAAAAAGGCTCACTCTGTAATACACCAACGCATCACATATTCACACACAAAGGTTTACATTTCTAAACAGGATCCCTTTTTAAGTGCTCTGATAAAACCACAACCCCATTAGACCAAAAATCCCAAATTTCTCGGGCCAAATATCAGTTCCAAAACATGCAACTGATTCCTCTTCCTCCTCCTTCTTCGTGTGGCAGATTTTCTAAACGCATCAAGGACCATTCTGCAGCTTTTCATGCAGCCAGGCTGAAACAAGGGTCCCAAAGTGGTCTCCTCTTTCAGAGAACAGTGCTTGGTTGATAAGAGAAAACAACTATATTAGTCTTTTTTTCTTTTTAGCCTGCTTCGTTTATCTGAGATTTTTCCCTCTTCTTTTTCAGTTCAGTAAAAAGGTCTAGATGTGAGCAGAGGGCGGAGCATACAGGTGGGATTCAGAGAAGATGGTGGGCCCTGGGTCATGTGATAGTTATGAGGGGAGGGGATAGGGGAGGGGAGTGGACGGGGGATGAGGAAGGTCCTCCTGCTCCCCCCCCTCTGATTCACTCGTTGATGCTGCTCTCCAGGTCTTTGCACTGAATGTCCCCCCCGCTGTAGTCCGTCCCCGGCAGCTGGACACCGTACTTGTCCACGCACCAGCAGATGCCCCGCTTGCGGCCGCGAGATGGTTTGCACTGGAAAACAGAACAGAATGGGGAACATTTTTACTAAAAATGCAAACAAAACAAACATCTCATCACAAAAATGTCCCCAATCAGCTGGCAGCAAAAGGAATTAACCTTTCTGCATTTTCAGTTCAACTTCAACTCACAATTTTGAATAAATAAAAGAAGAAAACAATACTTGAAAACCAAGGAATGGACTGGCTTTGATATCCCAACTAATAGGTCCTTTCATCAGTTCATACCTGAACATCATACCAGCGCAGTTTGTTCCCTTCAATGATGTCATTGCATACCTTTGATCTTCAACTATTGCTTATAGAAAAGCTATTATTTTCAGTATGCAATACATATAGAGTTGTGTTTAATGAACCTATTAAATAGACTTTCAACTGTATATAGAAAACCTATTTACTGTAAATTAGCAGTGGTAGAAAATATCCCTGTGGTGTTAAACAAAACCTTATTATAAACTCATTATAAAATGTTCTGAAGAAGATGCCATAGCTTACACCTATAAACAGACGAAGCAGGAAAGCAGTCAAATCACCAGCTAATTTCAGCCTAATGAAGTCTGCATGTGATTGCTTTGTGTGTTTCTAGAGTGTCCACTAGAGGGCATAAGTGGAAATTGCACCACTGGCCCTACAGGCGTGTGCCTGAGCATCCAACAATGAGTCCACACAGTAAGTGAAACTCAGAAGTTACCGAAGATCAATTTTAATTGATCTACAAATCGTTTCCAGATTTTTATGAAGAGTCAGAAGTTCCTTTTATGGCGTGCAGGAGGCATGGGGGTAGCATCAGGGAGTAGTCATACTGCGCAGCATGATCAGAATGAATTTTAGACCACCATGTTTGTGTAAATAAACAGAAAATGTAATTTTGGCTCCTCTTTCCTCATGATTGAAACATTTTATTTAAGTATAAATACATAGAAAACAATCAAAACACGATTCATAAATAATATGTAGCATTTATGGAAAAACAATTTATATGAGACTGAGCATTTGTATCCACTGCTTCCGACATGTGGTCGATCAGACATGTGCGGGCTCCACATGCAGCATTACATGCCAATAAGACTCTTACACGTGAACATATCCATCTAAAACTGAATTATTGATGTGTTCTTTAAAACTGAGCCCCATGTATATTCATACAAACACCCTATGCTTGTTTTCTACTACTTGCATGCATACTGCTTCTCCATAGATTATTTTTTACAGTGTGCATACCAACAAGAGACCAGGCTGGTTCTTTGTGCCTCTACTCTAAAACTTGTTTTTGTATTTGACCATTGTCAGAGAGAACCAGTTTCGTGGTATAAACAAGCAGTAAAACATAAAAAGACTTTCCTGTTTAAACCACAAAACAAATCTTTTGGGCTCAAACGTTGCCAAGAGTGGATGTTGCATGGGCCTACTTGTAATTCCTCACAAAATTGAAGGAAATTTCTTTGTTTGGAGCAACATGGCAGACGTACTGTTTAACTCTGAAGTTGTGAGCCCTATTGCCTTGCAGCAAGGTGGTCATGGCTTCATTTTGAATCTCCTTATGCTTGGATGGGCTTCACTGGATTCTTTTTTGACTGTCCTAAAACATGCACTAGACACTATACTCGTACATTCTGTCTCTTTTTTGCCCTTTTGTCCACTGACCACTGGAAACCTAACACTGATTGAGGAGGCATATATGGATAGATGTGCCAGCTGGTGACAAATGAAGGGAGCACATACTTCTGACAGTAAATCTATGGGTCAAAACTGGAGATCATTAAATATTTTCAAACTTTCAACAGTTAAAACCTCTACAGTTGGTCAGAGTGCAAAATTTCTGGTGCTAATTAAAAGAGAAAGGATTTACTTTGTTACTTGTTGACCTAGGCAGACCACAAACAGCTGCCAAACTCTAAGATCAGTTGTACATGCTTGGCCCCAAACCAACACAGAACACAATTTTTTGATGTTTTCTCTAAAGTTCAGACTTTATATGCTTCCCGACTTTGGTTGAACAAGACACCAGCTGCTATTAAAGGCATACTATGCAACATTTTTTAGTTAATTAATGTGTTTCATAACATTTTGGATGATTAAATGAGTATTTTCAGGTTGAACAAAGGTTTTCTCGGCTGCCCTGGTGGTCTGTGGGGGAAATACTCGTGCATCGCCAGAGTCGGTCTTGCTTTACGGCGAGAATTGCTACACGCCCCCAGTGAAA